GCAGCTGGGTCAGGAGAGGTCTGCCAGGCCATGTGGGTCACTTCCCGGGCAGGGTATCTATCTAACTCATGTGAAGCAGCTGCAGCTGCTTAAAATGAGGGCCCTCATTTTAAAAAACCATTTGTCGACCTTTCCTCTTCCTGGAGGCACACAGTATAAACTGGCAAACAGAATGGCTTGTTTTTATCTGTGTCTGGGCCTGTCTGAAAAGAGTCAGAGGCTAGATTTTAAGGCTGAGAAATGGCTTACTGAATTCATGGCTAGGGTTCCTGGACAGGCCTCATATCCCTCAGCCAAGGCCTGGTGGGGATAGGGACAGTTTCAAGTTTCGGCTCCAATACTTCCTGTATAGCAAGTATATACAGGCTCCTTGGGGAAAAAAAAAATACCCTCCAGCCCCCAATTTTATCATAGAGAGGTTCAAATATGTGCAAAATCGGAGAGAATATTGTAATCCCTATCTATCCATCCCTTAGCTTCAAGAATTGTCTTGGCTGATGTTGTTTTATCTCCAGCCCTGCTCTTACATAGTGCCTTTCTTCCCAGCCTCAGTATTACTGTTATTATTTTATCACTGTTTATTCTTCAAAATAAAGGATTAAAATCCTTAAGATGAACTAGATGCCGCAGCAGCTTCCCTCTTGGGTTTAGATGTTCTTTCATGGGATCCTTGCTTGAATCTGCAATACACAATTTTTAGGTGCCTTGTTTGAATGGTCCCTGCAGTATTTCTTCTTTTCTCTTTGGTACGCCAGTTATACTTTCTTTTCCCGCTGACATCTGCTGCAGTTGACTTCTGAAGGTGGTAGACCTTAGCACCACAGTGTGTCTTCTTACGATACCCTCCAGATAACGATCTTCCCTTCATCACCTTGCGTCTGTCACCAAGTCAAAGAAGCACGAGAGAATGTCCCAATAGTCCTTTTAATTAAAATTTTTGTGGGACATCATTGTAGAATCATGTGCAGTCGTAAAAAATAAACACTTCTTGTAACTGTTATAGACCTTATCACCCCTCCCCCAAATTTCTGTGTTGGTGTTTGGAGGTGGAGACTTTGGGAAACTATGTGGTAACTAGAGCTCTTATTTAAAAAAAAAAAAAAAAAAAGCACACACAGAGGGCCCTGTCCCTTCTACCATGTGAAAACACAGCAAGAACATTGCTATCCATGAGCGAGAAGTTGTTCTAATTTTCTGATGCCCTGATCTTGGACTTCCCAGTATCCAGAACTCTGAGAAATCACTGCTGTTTATAAGCTCCATTTTATGGTATTGTTACAGCGGCCCAAGAGGACTAAGCAATGACTTTTTGTGTAACTATACTATCCTATCACAATCGGGATACTGACATTCATATAATCTACCAATATTATTTTGATTTTCCAGCTTTATACTTGTGTGTGTTGTGTATTAACTTCTACACAATTTTCTCCTCTAAGTTTTTTCATCCACCACCAAAGTAAAAGAACCATTCCAATACCAGAGGATCCTGTTGTTGCCATACCGACTTCCCTTCTGTCACTTATGCTTCATCCCTACTACTTGACAACTGCAAAATCTGTCTTCTAAACTTTTGTCACTTCTAAAATATGATATAAATGGAGGCATACAGCATGTCATTTGGGGGATTTTTTTTTCCTTCATATAATTACCTGGAAATTCACTCAAGTTGTTGTATCAGGCTTCCTTTTTTTTATTACTTATTTATACATACAGAACTGGGGTACAGGCCAGAGGTGAGGGGAGCAGTGAGAGGATTCACCAGAGACAGAGCAGGGAGCAGAACAGGCAACAATGTACTGAAATACACTGCTGAGGTGAAATACACTGCTGAGCAGGTGGGTCAGGAGAGGTCTGCTGTGCCATGTGGGTCAGCAACCTGATCAGGGAGTGAACTTGTACTGCAGAGGCTGCAATAGCGTCCTAGTGCTGTGCCTGAACCCGTTGTGCCACCAGAGAGGCCCCTGTTGTATCAAGTTTCTTCCTATTGATTGCTATGGAAGGACCATAGTTGAACACTTAACCTGCAGAAGGACATTAGGGTTTCCAGTTTTTGGCTATTATGAGTAAAGTTGCTATGAACATTGATCTATAAATGTCCAGGGGTATGGAATTAGCTACCACATGGGTACTAAGGGTGCCTACTGGGTCTCTCATTTCTTAGGGCTTCTCATGGACAGAATTAGAATATGCCTTTGAGTCTAAGCTAAAATATGCCATGAAATCATACAAAAACTTCCTACATTTAAGACTACAAGATATTTGCATAACATTACTCATTTTTTTCAATCGACTTCTATACTAAAACGCCAACTCTAATAACATCAACATAATTACGTTTTATTGTACACAACTTTCACCTATACTCAACAATATGATTAAGGTTTCATGAGTTTTTAAAAATAGCATTTAATTTTGCCTTTAGGGTAGATCTTTGGGATGCGCCCTTAATAGTTTTCAAGTTATTCTGAAGAATTCCCTTATGTGTAGTCATGCCACCAACTATGCACACACATTTAACTTATTTCAGTTTACTTTCAACTTTTAAGGATTTATATAATCAGGTAAAGTCAGGTTTCCCAAGTCAAATACACAAAACAAAGTCTAGTCTCCTTTCTCTTCTATTCTTTCCCAGTATGAGTAACCATTAAAAATTTTTGGGACCAGGCGAGAAAATAACAAAAATAATGAACAACCATATACCAGAGACATTTTGTGGGGGTGGAGTGGGGAATGGGATCAAAAACGGGGGGCGGGAGGGGGAGGGGAGGGAAATGCACGGGATTATGGAGGTGGCACACGGGTGATTTGGTGATGGGAAACCCGCGGGGATTACAATAGAGATGGAAAAAAAATGTGCAAAATGATGTAAAAATAAACTTTTGTAATAATTAAAAAAGTTTTTGTTAGGCCCTTCTGCTAGTGCAGGAGTTGGAGCACAGCTGTGCGAAGCCGGCAGTGGCCACTACAGTGCGAGTTTGATTCCCGCCAGGAGGTGACCCACATGGTGCAGCAGACCTCAGCTGATCCTCCCGCTGCTCCCCTCAGCAGTGTACTTCATAAATCTGCCTGTTCTGCTCCCCACTCTGTCTCTGGTGAATTCTCTCACGGCCCCTGCACCTCTGGCCTGTACCCCAGTTCTGTATGCATAAATACATCTTAAAAAATTTTTTTGAGGCCCTCCCTGGTGGCGCAGCGGGTTAAAGCACAGCACTGAGAATCTGAAGCCACTTCCGCATGAGTTCGATTCCCGCCTGCCACCTGCCCCGGAGGAGACCACATGGCGAGCCAGACCTCTCCTGACCCGCCCGCTGCTTCCCTCAGCAGTGTACTTCGTCGATCTGTCTGTTCTGCTCCCCACTCTGTCTCTGGTGAAGCCTCTCACCGCCCCTGAGCCTCTGGCCTGTACCCCAGTTCTGTATGAATAAATAAATAAATCTTTAAAAAAAAATTTTTTTTGAGTTATACTTCCACTTAAAATATATATTTTCACCCTTTCACATGTGAGTGGCAGAGGTAACAGGCATACTTTTTTATTCACCAGGAGAGGCTAGTATTTCACATAGAGAACCTCTACAACTTTTTTGACAAAATGCAGGAATGCCATCCATCTTATTTGGGAAGATGAACGGTGTGAGGATACTTTACACAAAAAATAGGATCACAGAACTCAAGGGACTTGCCCCAAGGAACAAAGGGGTGTGAACTCGTCTCCAAACCCGCAGTTCAGAGGTTCTTGATGAACTTTTTTTTATAGTACCAATAAATTTATTTTTTATTTTATAAGTTTATTTTACATTTTTACATTTTTTTCATCTTAATTGTAGTCTCCGTGGGTTTCCCATCACCAAGTCACCCGTGTGCCATCACCATAATCCCGTGCACTCCCCCCACCCCTTTTTGATCCCATTCCCCACTCCACCCCCACAAAATGTCTCTGGTATATGACTGTTCATTGTTCTTGTTATTTTCTCGCCTGGTCCATTATACTCCTGCTATGAGTGAAACCATCCGGTATTTTTCTTTCTCTTTCTGGCTTATCTCGCTAAGCATGATCTTTTCCAGCTCCATCCAAGTTGCTGCAAAAGACATGTGTTTCTCTTTTTTTTGAGTTTCATCAGTTCTCCGTATATTTTTGTGATCAGTCCTTTATCGCTACTTTTGTGTGAGAAAATGTTTTCCCAATTAGTGATCTTTCTGTTTGTTTTTAGTAATGTTTCTTTTGCTGTACAGAGCTCTTTAACTTGATGTAGTCCCATCTATTTATCCTTGCTTTCACTATTGTGGCGTTGGGTGCTCTGTCTTTAAAGATGCCGCTGAAGTGTATGTCGTGTAGTGTTTGACCCATCTTTGCTTCTAGGTATTTTATGGTTTCCGTTCTTTTGTCTACGTCTTTAATCCACTTCGAGTTGATTTTTGTGACTGAAGTGAGGCAGTGATCTAGTTTCATTTTTTTGCATGTAGCTTCCCAGTTTCGGGATGAACTTTTTTTTAAAGAAAACCTTTTCTCTCTCCTTTTAAAAGCCGTAACACAGAGATGACTAATTTTATAGCGTGAACATCTTAACGGACCTGCGAAGAAAAAGGCCCTGCACCGGAGCCTCGCTCACTCCACTCATACTGGGACGCTCAGGTCCGAGCTCAGAGGCGACAGACACCAGAGGTGCCGCGCGGAGGCACCGAGTGGGGCGGGCCAATGTGGGGCCCTGGTGCTCAAAAGAAAGAGAGAACACGAAAGCCTCTGGCAGAAGACAACTAGTGCAGTACTGGCGCCCCACAGAAAGTTTCGAAAGAGAAACGCTCCGGAAGACGAGGAGCGTTACTCCCGCAAGCTTCAACCTGAAACCTCCGCCCAGGGGCGGTGTCAAGGTTCCGCGGACTGAAGCCCGCTGAGGCGGGGGCGGGGCAACGGAAATGACGCTACGGAACCCATTGGACGGGGCGGGGACACTCCCGGGGAACAGCTAACGGTTTCCGGTAGTGGCTTTGGGAGGGGCGGGGGAAAGAAGCTGGCCGCTGGGTTCCTTGACCCTTAGTCCAAGCAGTGCACCGAGATGATGGGCTGTGGGGACTCAGAGCTGAAGTCAGTGAGAGGGGGAGAGGCTGTGGCAATCCCGGGACCACCCCCCGCACCCCGCGCCCCAGAACCCGGAGCTCCTGTGCCCGAGCCGGGTCTGGACCTAAGCCTGAGCCCTCAGCCCGAAAGCCCTGAGCGATCGCGGCGCAGCCCGCCGGGGCGGAGGGGGCCGGCGGACCGGCAGGGCGGGGCTCGCAAGGGGCGCCAGGTGAGCTGGGGGAAAACTTGGCCGCTAGTCTAAGGGCGACCCCCCGCGCCCACTTCTTCACCTTCCCGCCCTCTGCACCAGGTCCGCTTCCACCTGGCATCGCCCTGCCCCGTCCTGTTGGACCCGCCGCTGGCCGCCGCCGCACGGAGCGAGAAGCCCGCGGTGCAGGACCTGGGGGCGCCCGCGCAGCAAAGCAGCCTGGCGCTGAGCCTGGAGCTGCAAGCCGCGCGGGCCGCAGCCGAGGGCCAGTTCGATGCCGCCAAGGCCGTGGAGGAACAGCTGAGAAAGTCGTTCCAGACCCGCTGTGGCCTGGAGGAGAGCGTGGCTGAGGGTGAGGGGGGCAGGCGACTGGGCCGGCGCGGGAGTGGGAGTGAAGAGCGTCGCTCACACCTGTTCCCCCTGCGGTCTCAGGACTGAACGTGCCGCGCTCTAAGCGTCTGTTTCGGGATTTGGTGAGCCTGCAAGTGCCGGAGGAACAAGTGCTGAATGCAGCGCTTAGGGAGAAATTGGCGATCCTGCCCCCGGCTCGAGCCCCGTCCCCAAAGGTGAGGGTCTCAGCTGGAGTTCCCTTCCCTTCCCGTGGGGGGTTTCTTACCCCCTCCCAAACTGTAACCTTGCCTTGGGTTCCTACTCCCAACAGGAACCACCTGGGCCCGGGCCAGACATGACCATCCTGTGTGATCCAGAAACATTATTTTATGAATCTCCACACTTGACTCTGGATGGTTTGCCCCCTCTCCGGCTTCAACTTCGGCCCCGCCCCTCAGAGGATACCTTTCTTATGCATAGGACACTAAGGAGATGGGAAGCATAGACCTGGATGCACCTGGATTGTGAATTCATTTTCTCTGTTAAAACCTTTTCAGAATAAAAGTGGTTTTCTAATAAATGGAGCTCTTCTAGAGAGCTTTGAGCTGGAGGTCAAGCCTCAGGTTGAAAGGTGCTTGGAGATGGATGACAAGTGGGAAAACCTGCGGTCAGGGTTAGCTACTCTGCCACCCCTTTCTCTCAAGTCAGTGACAGCTACCACCTTTTATTTTGGATGATCCCATACTTGTTCTGTTTATTACTGATCACTTTAACATGTGAGTCTTACCCTGCGAGGAAGGCATTGGCTCATTAACTGGCTGGAGCAGCTGGCTAGCACGTTGTTGGAAATACCTCCTTTTACCTTTAAAAGATCTAGTATAACTTGTTTACACCTGACTCAAGAGTGATCAGTTGAATTTTCACAACTTCAGAATGCTAGGCAAGCTGACCCAGAGCTTTGTGTTAACATGTTAGAATGCTTACACAACAGGAAAAAAGGTGGATGGGGGGTGATACAGCTTAAGATTAGGTGATCTGGTCCAAAATACCATTTTTCTACTTCCATTTCTGTTACACCATAAATTCTCCCAAAGTCAGCTTTTTGCGCAAAGCTGCCCTCCCCATCCCCCCCCAAATAATTTGTCAGTGGGCTTTTGGAAGAGGGGAGATGGGCTCTTCCCAACTATTGACAAACCAGTCTGTTGAACTACTTGGGTAGAGGATGTGGGGATTCCACTAGGAGGCACAATCCTTGCTCCACCAGCTAAAAAATGCCAGACACAGGCTTGGGGGGGCTATCACCCTAGAACATCAAGTTTATTGTGCTGTTCTCACATTCCAAACCCAACCCCCTTGTCCAAGGGGGGACAGCAGAGGGAAGAATTTTCACAGTACCTGCGTGCCTCTCCCCCATTTCCCCATTAATTCTCAGTCCATCTATCTGTGGTCCACTGAAACGCAGCTAGTGACAGGGGCTGAGGAGAAACAGGAATCTCCTTGGGAGAACAGGAGGAAGAGGACAGAGAACTTGATACTGCCCAATTCCCAACTCCTAGGAGATCCGAAGTCAGCAAACAGTCCATGCCATCCAGCCCAGCAGGCTGGGGGAGAGGAAGATGCTAACTCCAGCACAGCTGGACTTGCTGCTTGGGTGCCAGAGGTGTAGGGAGGAGGCTGGGGCAGCAACACAGGAGAAGCTTTCTCTGCAGATCCAGGAAACTTTTTGGAGCCAGAAAGGAAAGACCTTGGGATACTTTCCTCTTCCCCCAGGTCTGTAGGAGCAGCAGGCAGCCTCTTCACACTTTCTTTCCAGGGGGCCACTTAGTGGCTGGGGGAATGGCCCTTGTGGAACAGGAACACAGGACGCTGGAATCCTGAGGGGGGAGGGGAGTGTAATCAGAGGAGACTGGTAAGAACACAAGATTCTCCACAGAATCTGTACCCTCCACCCCCCAAAGCCAGTTGTACCTCTGGCGGTGTTGTGGGGTGTGGCCACAAGCTCATAGCTGGAGAACCCCACCTCTGGGGATGTTAGGTAGGAACTGAACTGTTCTGGTTTCAGCTGGATTCGATAGTAGTTCTTGTAGATTGTTTCCTAGGGAGAAAGGCAGGGATAGCTTCAGTACCCCGTGGCCTTCTCTGATATCCACTTGGGGGCCTTTGACCTTGTTCACAAAGGTTTCCTGTGGCCTTGTCTTAACTAAAAGAAGGACATCTCTACTTTCCACTGAAACCCAACTCACCGTGAGAGTCTTTCTTCTGCCATAGGATGACCAAGGTTGGGGCTCTAAGACCAGGATGCCCCCAGGGCGTAGGTGGCGATAGATCCTGCGAAACATGCGTTTCAGCCCCTCATCTCCCCAGTTCAGATGAACCCACTTAGTGAGGCTGAGGCAGAGCACCACATCATACTCAGGTGTTTGGGCATCCACCAGCTCATCTCGATCCAGCACATAGTTACCCTGGGGATCAGAATTGGAGGCAAGGTCAATAAAGACACCGCAAGAACCTCTCCCCCTGCTATAACCCATAATGCTGCTGCTAAGACAGGAGTTCCAAAGCCTCACTATAGCCTCTGGCCACAACCTTCTCTCTTTGATACTCCTCAGACTAACTCCAAATGTTACCTTTTCAAGTCTTACCTTCTTGCTTTGTATCATCCTGCCCCTGCTTTCCACTGGGGATAAACCGTCCAACATAACAAAGGGGCCTGGTAACTTACTAGAGTAAATTATCCACGCTATCTCTGAAACTAGGGTCAAAACGCAGAGCATGCTGAGATTCTCCCAAGACCTGTCCAATACTCTTTCCCACCCCACAAACAGGAAGCTCTAGTGATGCTCAACTTTGTGCAAAAGGGCCTAACCTAGGTCTAAAAGAGAGACAGGTTCTTTCCCTGTAGTCGGGGATGACTTTTCCTCTAGTTGGGTTTCAGGTCTATTGGATCCTTCCTCCTCCAAAAATTAAAAGCCACACCACTTAGGAAACTTCTAGATAAAAAACATCATACCCCTCCCACAAAAGGTGATTCTTCCAAGCCTGACTCAACACTACTATTTAATCCTGCAGATGGCTTCAATGAAGTGTTTCTGGGAGATGAGTATTTAGGGGACATACATTCCTCAAGAGAATCCTGCCCTCTCCTGCACCGAATTCTGACTTCCCCATCCCACCACCTAGAGTCAACATGGGGATGATCTAAAGCCAAGCCACTTGGGTTCCTGACCACTGACACTCTTTGCCCAACACTGCATCTAGTGCAAATGTAGTCCTTACCAAAGAACAGAATCTGTAAATAACCTCTCCACTCCCTAGACCTGCCATGTTTTGATACCCCTCTCTTCATGCACACTCATTAGGTTGGAGGACAAGTTTCCATTTAGACCAAATGCCCATCAGAAGCAAAGTGAATTTGTCTGGATAACAGTCCAGACCAGGCTAGGAGCTGGGCAAAGAGTCAGTCTTTAGTGTCTGTAGTCACATGGGAAAGGACTGCAGGTAGGGCCCCCACCTAGAAGGTGAGACACCCAGTGGAATTTAAGTTGCAGTTTCAGACCCTTCTGGAGCATTTGGATGAGGAGTGCATGCACAGAAATTCCTATGGGTTGTGACCTTCCCTGCCATGTTCCCATTTTCATACCTGGGCACTATACCAAGAGCCTTTAGACCCTTACCGTGACGAAGACAACATTGTTGGGGAAGACTGATGTGTCTGCTCCATCCAAGGGCACTTGGGGTGCAGCGATAGGACCCCGGCTGGCAGTCAGTGAGGCAGGGAAGCAGCTCCTCTTTCGGACTATGGTGGTCCCTTCCTCACTCTCTGCCCCTGGGTCACTCTCAGAATTCTGAGGCGGCAGACGCAGTTCCTCAGATAGGTAGTGTCGGATGTTTTGGCGAGCAGAGTGGATGAGCCGGGCATCAATATCCAGGCCCACCATGCGGGATGGGCCCCACTTACAGGCAATGCTCAGGGTCAAATGACCCACATTGCAGCCCAGGTCTAGGACGTCCCGACCCCGAAACCACTCAGGCTTCAGTACCCGAAGACGCACATCCTCACAGGAAGGATTACGGTACCCATAGTACTTGGTATAATTCCCATACTGGAACTTTAGCTGCTGCTTTTTGAAGACTGCTGCTGGTAGTGGGTGAACATGGTGGCGGCCTCCCCCACTGCCTCGGCCCTTTTCCTTGGGACCCTGGCCTCCACCCCTAGCCCCTGCCTCTGACTTGCTGGAAGTCCTGCGACGTTTACGATGTCGTGAGGAGGAAGAGGGGGTTGCAGAGGTAACTGAGGCAGCTGGAGGGGCTGAAAGGGAGCCTGAGGAACCCTGTAGGGCAGATGGGAGGGGAGACACGACCTCATCCCTGCAGTTGATGGCTGTGTTGAGTTCATAAGGTTGGGGGGCATCCCGATTCTGGCCCCTATGCCGTTGCTGCTGCTGCTGCTGTGTGGTGGCCTCCCCTTGGAGTGAGGGGGTGAGAGAGGCTGTGGGCAGCACTGAGAGGCTATCATTCCCTCCAGTTGCTTGCTGCTGCTGTTGCTGTTGCTGCTGCTGGTGGTGCTGTCCCCGGTGTCTATGCCGCTTCCGACCAGTCTTGAGTGGTGAAGCAAGAACTACTTGGGCCTCATCAGTGCAAGTATTGAGACTGAGCGGGTCAGTAATATCTTTGGGGATGAGGATCTCCACGGGATCTCTCCCCTTGGCCGGAAGTGGGGATGACTTAGGGGTCTCCGCATTGAGTGCGCGGCTCACTTCCTCATCCAAGAGACTATTCAGGTTGAGTGGATCAAAGATATTGCCCCCCAGGAGGAAGTTGGAGGGTAACACGGAGTCACAGTCCGAATTAACCCGCCTGCGCCTCTTGAAGGCCGGATGTTTGAAACCTCCACCACCGCCCCCTACATTACAGCTATTTCTCCTCTTGCCGCCCCCACCCCCGGGAGGCCTGTGAGGCTGATATCCATTACGGGGTCGAGGAGGGGCAGGGGGGCCCAGTTCTGTTCCGCCCCCTCCCCGTCGCTCCTCCCCCATGTCAGGGGGAGCGGCTCGCCCATGGGAATCCGACAAGCGGCCCTCCCCGTGCGACTGTGCCTGGGGGCCGCCCCCTCGTTGCTGCTGCGACTGGCCACCCCTAGGAATGGATGTTGCCCCGGGGCTCTCCTTGCCAGCCCCAGAAGCCGGGGCCCCCGCCGAGTGCGCGCGCGGGCCCGGCCCACGCTGCGTCCCGCCGCGGAGCTCCCCGGAGGCGGCCTCTCGGTGCGGTTGCACCGTGGGGCCGCCCCCTCCGCCCGACTCATCTTTGAGCGGCGGTGGCGGGGCCGGCACCAGAAACGGCTCCTTCTCCGCAGCCATCTCGATCATTTCCTCCCCTTATTCCGTCCCACTGGAGGGCAACGGGGGGGGGGGGCCGGGGGCTTAACCCCCCCTCCCTAAGCCCCGCTCCCTTCCTCCCTCCCTCCCCCGAGTGCGCGCGCAGCTCTGCTCTCCTTGCCTAGTCTCGCACCCAAGCGCCTCCCCCAAAGCGCGCCCCACTCGCCCGCGAGACCAAAACAAGATGCCCGCGAGACCCGAACGAGTCGAAGAATCAACCGCGCGTGCGCCGACCCCTTTCTCCTCTACCACTACCGCTCCGCCGCGAGCGCGCACTGCTAGAGCGCGTTCCTCTCGCCCCGAAATCACGCATGCGCATTCCGCCACCACCCTGGTTGCGCGCGCATCAGAGTACGAACCAACTTAACGGCTCCGGGAGTTTAAATATAGTCCCCTTTAGCCCTCCCAAGAGCCCACCACCCCACACTGACACCCTACTTC